AATTATAATGCCAAGTAAGCTTGATTTTAATAATTTTGAATTAATTCAAGTTCGTTTGTTTATCCTTTTAAATATTTATTGAGTTAAATTCCAGGTACCTGTTTCTCATTGTTTGGAATTAGTGTCTCTTTTGTTTAAAATATCCAGTAGTAATTTTGTAACTGATGCATTGTTTTTGTAATCAGAAAATAATACCTATGAACAAATTTACTTTGTGATCCCGACAGATTTAGCATGCCCCAGTCACCATTTAATACACTGGGATTCGAACCAGAGTCCAAGGTCCTACCAATCGGGGCTATTCCGGCCACAGAACTACAAAGTACTTATTTTAAATAAATAATAATTCAATTTTAAAAAGTGTATCGTAGATTTAAAATGACCTGAGAAACATTAAATTAATAAGCATTTTTTATTTTTTTCTGTTATTCTCAAAATGCAAATTCTAAATTCGATAGATTTAAGTTAAGCTTTGATTGAAACAAAGTTTACAGCGAAAATTTGTAAAATTTCTTTTATCTCCTAACTCTCAAAATTTTGAAATTGACTGATGGCTAGTTTCTAAAACTTAAATATTAGTTTCCTTTTTTCTTGCCATATATAATCTTACTGCAGTTAAGGTAAATAAATGCAAAACATATGTATATATATATAATAATATTAATTTTTTCTTTCTTTCTTTCAAGTTTCATTCAATTATTTCATAAAAAGAGGGGGGGCACAGAGAAGACTATTTTAAATCAACTCATTTAAATGACTTGTATGGTTTATTGGAATTGCATACATTTGCAGGCTTGTGTGCTCAATTTAGGTTTATAAACCTTTGTCAAATAGAAGGACGTATAGCAAAATAAGAATGACTTGTCTGCAAAAGGTGTAGAGTGTAAAGCAACTGAGTTATAATTTATCATGCTAAATTTTTACTTGGTTTGCTTTATTAAATTTTTTGTTTAGCTAAAGAGCTCAGTGAAAGAAAATGTTAAGTTAACTTTTTGAGAATGGAAATATTCATCTAATATTTCAATGTTATTCCTAATGTATATTCAAGTTAGAATAAAAGAAAAATTGTAAATTCTATTTATAAGTTACCAAATATAATCGTATTCTACCAAATAATTAAATGAAAAAATTTGATTTCTAAATAATTTCTTCTGGTGTTTTTAAGTATTTTAAAGCTTAGTTTTCGCAAATGTTCTAAAGCGTTCGCTTCATGTTTCGGAAATGACCAATGGTCTATAACTTTACAGGTAACGGATGTTAGTGTACAGAAAATTTTTTAGCTTGCAAAAAAGAAGCCAGGTATTAGCTATAACATAAACAATATATCTTGGTGCGCAGAAAATTTTCAATCTCAAAAAGAAGAGCCGCGATGGCTCTGGGGATAGAGCAATAAGGTGACCCGGGTTCGAATCCCAGCGATGGCTGGTCGATACGAATTCCTCATCTGGCTTGCACCGACCACAGTGCTGACGTAAAATATCCTCAGTGATAGACGGATCATGATTCATGGGTTAGAGTCCCCTTTCCGTCAGGCTAACCGTGGGAAGATTTCGTGGTTTTCCTATTCATATAACGCAAATGCGGGTTAGTTCCCTCGAAAAACCGTCCACGAAGGCATATTTCTCTCATTACTTGATCCAGGAGTTTCCTTGTCTTCTGGAATGAGTTCAAAATTACAAGGCTACGGAGTTGAACATAAGCAGTCGTAAACCCCAAAAATTGGGTCGGCTGTTCAGCTACAGTAATGAAATGAAATCTTAAAAAGAAGCCAAGAATTAACTATTTATAATTATTTTTTTGTAAAAAAATATGTAATAGATATATATATTTTTCTAATTAGACATGCATAAAATTTGTTATACATTTCTCAATAGTTTTCCTTCAACTAGTGAGCAGAATTGAGATGTCGAAAACAAATTTAAAGTTCTGTGAGCCGAACATTCAGATTTATAAATAAAAGTTACAAAAAGAGAAGAAATAGCTTATTTTCAATGTCTTAAACCAGTGTTTCTCAAACTTATGACTTTTGTGTACCCTATCTAAATTTTTCGTAACGCTGTGTACCACTAATAAAGAAATGAATGTAATTTTTTAAAAATATGTTTATTTTATTTATCTATTTATTATTATTTTTTTTTTGGCACAAGTTTTGTTAATAAGTTTATTTCCATCAGTGAAAAGTATGATATTGCTTTTGTGTGATTAAAAAAAAAAAACTGCACGAAAGTTAAAAATCACAACTGGCTGTTTACACCACTAATTATTACCTGTTAACTCTGCAAAAAATAGATAATAGAAAAATACATAATCGGAAGTTTTCTTGGCTATCTTTGTTTATAAACAAAAAATTTTGAAATTTTCGTTTGTTCCAAGATATTTCGCATAAGAACTCGTACCCCCGCTAAACTCTTCCGGTATCCCTGGGGGTACGCGTACCACACTTTAGGAAACACTACCTTAAACTATTTAGTATTTAGAATTGTCGGAAGGGAAGACCATAAATATGGAATATTATAAGCAATTCGATTCACCCCTACATAAATGTTCATGTGCGACTTTTCTAAATGATCACGAAATGTGTATCTTAATAATATTGTTTATACAACAAAGAAGTGTATACAGTGCACCAAAAAGAAAAAAAGTGATCACCCTGAATAATTTTTGATCTCATGAGCTTCACGTTCGAAGACTCCAAATTAATGGTTCGAGGGGGTGACCGAAAATATGCTAATTAATTAATGCAGAGAATATTTTAAGTTACGAAATCAGACACAAAAACGTACTTTCTCTGAACAAACTTCCTTTTTTTTTTTCTTTCTCGGTGGATTCGGATTTCTGATCCCCACAGTTTGGACCCCCTAATGTTAATTTTAATTTTTGCGTATTTCGCCATATCTCGAGAACTATTAGCAACTTGAACATTTTTTCACACAATTATAAAATTAGCTTATCCATGCAGAAAATAAATTTTAGTAAATATTTTCTATTTTTTATTATTTCATTTAAAAACAGTCATAAAACTTTTGAATTCTGAGGTACATAAATTTTTACACAATTTTAAAGTATGTACTTTTAAATGGCAAAATACAAAATAATATTTCAAATTAAAAATCGAATTTTAAATTAAGACTTTTTTAAAATTCAATTTTTCAGGAAATATTCACCCGATTTCGCTCAAATTTTGTATTTTGCAATGCAAAATTAGATACTTTAAAATTATGTAAAAATTTATATACCTTACAATTAAATTTTTTTCGACTATTACTAAATAGAATAACAAATATTTACTAAAATTTTTTTTGTTATTGTATGGATTCATCTTTGGATAAACAAATTTTATAATTGTATGCAAAGATTTTTTAATTCGGTTAAACATTTCTCAAGGTATAGCAAGATACAAAAAAAAAATTACTTCAGGGGTTCAAACTTTTGGATCCCTCTCATGACCAAAATATGAAGACATTATTTCTCAGATTGCTGTTACTCCCTATATTTTGGGAGAAAAATTCGAATCCGTCGAAAAAAAAGGTATGTTTAATCAAAGAAAGTACGTTTTTGTGTCTGATTTCGTAACTTAAAATATCGTCTGCATTAATTAGTTAGCATGTTTGAGGTCACCTCCTTGAACCATTAAGATTGAGTCCAAGAACGTGAAGATTATTAGTTAGACATTAGATTAGATCAAAAGTTACCTAGAAAAGTCCGTTTTTCTTATTTTTTTAATGGCGCACTGTACAATTTTTCGTAAAATCAGAATGATTTTGTCGTAACAATTTCTTGTAGAATCATCAGAAGTGAGTTTTGAATTTCCACGGCTTCAATGCCTTATTTTTTTTAGCGGAAAGGGGGAATGCCTGCATACACTTATTATTATTATTTTTTTGAATCCGTGACGGGTACCAATGGTAACCTGGATGGTACAGTGCAGTAAGCAAAAGAAAAATGACCGCTATTTTTTTTTCTCTTTCCCTGTTTAGTTAAGAATTCTCCGTACCATAAGTTCTCCTGTTGGTTGATGTATGCTCTGCTATTTAGAGAACCAACTAACACATTCATAGAAATTGAATTTGCTTAAATAAAACAAAAAAATTAAATTAAATTAAAGATCATTTACACTGCATGTGATAGCTCTAGAGGCCCGTGCAAGCGTTTAGAAACTAAGACGAACTGCTCACGCATGCGTGAATCGTATTGAGTGAGAATGCTCCTTCAAAGTTTATCGCTTTCGGGATTTTGGATTTTACCCATTATGTTAAGGAGTTGATTATGTCATCTCGTGAAATTCCATTTTATTTCGGTCCCCGATTGTAAGATATGGCTCCCAGTAGATCACCGAAGTCAAGCATCACTAGTTACGATCAGTGAGAAAGTGGATAGCCATTTTTGATCAACTTGCGAAAGACCGAGGGTATGCGGTATCGGTCCTCTTTAAATTGTTCTACTGTAAAGTGCTCGACTTGGCACGTCGATACTCGGGCTACCGAAGTGGGAGTGTGCCTTTCACCCCCCTTTGCAGAGGATCAAAATTGTGATAGAATGTTTCTAGTCTAGTCTAATGTTCTAGTCCATCGCTAATAGCCCATTGTACATAGCGTAATTTATTTACTTTATACGTAAATAAAGTACTACTACCTTTTTGTAACGATGACTGTACTTTAGGTTTCACAGCAAGGCAGAAATAAACAAAAACGAACCCAAATATTAACTATTGCTTAAGGAAATTAAATATAATATTGCAAAAGAATTTTATGGAAGTAATTATGTTCTGTAATTCTGAAAATTGGTGTACTTTATTGTGACCAAAGAAAAAATAACTTTTATGCACTCCATTTTTAACGCTTTTAAGATTTGTTACGCTTTACAAATTTTAGCGAAGATGCAAATCTTCTATTATTTGCATCTAGCGTTAGGCCGACTAAAATTTAGTTTTTATAGCAATTTCATCTATTTTGTATAATACTCGTTATCTACATTCAATCTGAACTGACATAAATGTTTTTTCTTCTGTTATGTAATTTCCAGATATGCAAAAAATTAAATAAAACCAGCTTAGTTTGAAAGTCGCGCTAAATTTTGTTGTTTCTTTATATTTTATTCTTGCATAAACAAAACAAAACCTTGAAAATCCTGCTTCTGCGCAGAGTTTCGTCAATGTTTGGGTAGTTAAGTTTCGTAAACATACAAAATGGCGTCAGCTGATCGATGAGTTGAAGTTTATAAGGAATCCTGGAGGTCGATGAGCATTAATGAAATTATAAAACATTGCTTATTACTATTTCTCAGCATTTTTACAAGTTAAAAGACGAATTATAGATATAATTTTTCATAATTCGAATATTCACCTGATCAAAAAGTTCAATGTCTTCTCCTTTGTGTTTCACATTTGCTGTTATTCATAGTTACTAAGGAACAGCAGCTATGATAATTCGAACAGTGGTTTTGAAATTTGCGTATCTTAAATTGAATTCGGGAAGATCCCTGTCTGACTAAATGTAATTAAAAGGAAGTGTGCTTGGTATGTTTTGGATATTTTTTAATAAAACGTAATTAATATAAAAACAATAGAGACGTATTATCTAACAAAGCTTAATGTAATGCGAAAACACAAAAGTTTTTGTTTAACTTTTCTAAAGATTAAGGGCCAATATTTGTTTATGTGTTTTTATTAAGTATACTGCAGCTGGGAAACACTGAAGAATACAAGGACAAAATCTAATATGATGAAGTAAAATAAATGTTTAAAAATCGAAAATTATACTATATAATGTTTAAAAACCAACATTCTAAAAATACGTTTTAAGATTCCCATTTAACTTTTTTTTAGATATTCTTTGAAGTATCTTTTATTTACTATTACCTACTCAGTTTGTTTTTTATATTGATCTTAAGCTTTAAACTCATTAAAGCATTCTGTCATTAAAAGTTAAAAATTTAAATAACTGCTTGTAAGTTTTAAATGTAAACAATAACTGTTTTTAATGTTATTGTTGTGAAATATTTTTGTTACAAAGTGACCATAATATAGAATATTATTCAAATTTATATCCATAATTTTATTATTATTCTGTAAAATGATTTTCTTTTAAATTGTTTTCAATTTGAATATTAAAAAAGAGATAGTTTTAAACATTTGCTAATTTTGTTAAAATTTTAAGTTGCAGTTGTTATTTTGTTTTATATTTGTTTGCTCATATTGTAAGTTGAGAAATTTATTTAAATTTTCTTTCATTACTCTGATGTTTTTACTTGCTGCAGAAAATGATGCATACTTTTGTAAAATTTTTTGATATTGCATTTTTTATATTATGAAATGTTTATATTTACATAATTTGAAAAATATGTCTTAGGATTGTTTTATTATTCAGGATCTCTTACATGCAAGAGTTATTTTATTTCGAAATGCCCTTCATATTTTTTTATTAATATAATATAACTCTTTTATAAGTTGATTTTTTATTTTCTATAGTTAAACAAAATAATTGATAAATTGCAATTTGACGCCTTTTTATTCATAAATATTTAACATTTTCTACAACAAAAATTGATTTTTTGCAGTAATTGTCGAAACAGAAAGAGAGTTTGCCTAATGTCAAAATAATTGAAGAACATGATTGATCACTTGTAATTTTATATGTATGTTTATTTATAAATACTTCATTTTTAAAATAGCTAATAATTCTCTTTACCCTAAAATTTTAGGTTTTTGACAATTGTTAAAAACTGTGTCAAAAAGGGTATTTTGACATGATGGTCTAAACCGTGGTTAAAACCAGATAAGACCATCAATTTTCAAAAACTTGCTAATCCTGCTAGAGTCACTAGTCACCTACTCTTCACTATTTTACATTACTTAATAAAAAATATGAATAATTTTTAGAATGTTAACAGATGTAGTAGGAAAAAGCTTCTGACAACCGGAACTATAAAAGAATGTCTTAACATAAAAAGTAATCAAAGCATATTTTAGTAATATTAAATCAAAGTATGGTTTCTAGAAACAATGGTGTTGTAAAGGCAAAGTGTGTGACTTAGTTATCCTTATTAATCTAAATAGATGAAAAATGTTGTTTGATTTCAAATTATTTCCACGTGCTGCTGTATTGACTGCATTTTCAACGATGCAACTTATTCTGCAGCCTTAAATATTTGTTCATTATTGCAAATGACATTTTATGTGACTCACTTTTAGCAGGTGATTGATAATGCTTAGAGTGTAATTTTTCATGTTAGTCTCTTTTATTTATTGTATAATTGTTTTTTAGGTTATTTAATTTATAAAAGTATTTTACCTCAACTGTCAAGATGTTGTACGTTTTCATTGTAAGCTCTGGAAGAATGATGCAGTTTGAGATGAGTCTTGCAGTAAAAAAGTAAAAATTTTGTTTTTTTCTTCATATTCTTATATGTTTACATTATATGTTTGTTCAATGGAAGGATATGATAATTCTCCAAGAAAGTACCTGCAAAAATTCCCCGAAAATGTTGCTTAAAATTCAGGGAATCCTCCAGGAAAAACCACTTCTACGTAGAGACCTTCTCTATTTATGGTCACTTTTGGGGGTCACAAAATTTTTTCCATAGACTTTGTGTTGAAATAAACCTTGAGGACACACCATTAAAACCTTCAAGCGACAGGGAANAGACAGGTGGTCAAGTTACAAAGGTTTTGCTGCTTTATATTATATAGGAAAAATTCCGTTCTTGATAATTGAGGTCAACTTATGTAGGTGCCCAACTTACAAGGGTGGTCAACTTGGCATGTTTCACCGTATATAAAAAATATTAGAAATGTAAAACAAAGTAGAATAAAATGTATTCAAAATATTTATGTGAGGTTCTTATTTAGAGAGCTCTTTTTGACTATGTCTGAATGAGATCTACAATCTCATATTTCAGTCAGAGTGCATTAAAGACTATGTTATCAATGATTTATTTTTAGAGTTCAAATTTAAATTGGAGAAAAAAAGTTATTTTAGAAAAAACTAGGCATCTTAAACAAACAAACCTTTTCTCATTTTTTGAAGCTAATTAATTTTTATCGTATGAAATTAAATGCAAACTGAAACAAAAAATTGTTGATCTATTTAAAATAGTTCTTTTTATTCAGAATTGGTAAATTTGTTTTTAATCAAAATTATATCAGTAGGGATCATTTTTATTGACGCTAAATTTTATTCATCCATCCAGTTTTCATGACGTCAATACGAGGCTTTTCCGCTCCAAGGAAATGACACTGTCTAAAATTAAAATTGTTTGCGAAAAGTCATGCACCTTTGATAAAATTTTGAAGTGAATGGAGGTAACCCCAAAGAATGACCAACTTCTATTAATGACCATTTTAGTGTGGAACAGAGAGTGGTCGCTCTTGAAAAGTCAATGGAGCCAACCTTTTAAGAACAACTCATCCTGAACCATTTTACTGTGGAATAGAGAGTGGTCATTCATTAGAGATTTTACTGCATTAAAAAAATTTTAATATTTTTTCCTTTTGTGTTTCGTAAAAAATAAATTTTACGTGTGCGCGCCAGAAATTTTTACACACTAATTCAATAATTTATTTAAATTACTGAAATGAACAATTCTCAAAAGAAAAAAAATAATAATATCACATTTCTTTAAAAGAAAATAAAAAATAAAAGAAATTATAATTAACTTAAAAAAACATTCACATTTCTTTCAATTGATCAAATTTTTTAAACTTTGAAATCAGATTATGTTCTTTAGATTATAATTAGTTAAATTTCCTAAATATAATTAAAGCTAATAAGAATATAATAAAACTGGTTTGAAAATTTATTACTTAATAAAAAAATTGGCTTATAGTGTTTCATTAACTTTTGCAATTTAATAAAAAGGAAATAAAAATCTATCAGTAATTCACGAAAATAGTCTGCAATAAATAAATCAGGAATTTATTTTTTAAAATCTTTTATCTTTTATAATTTTAAAAATGGCAAAATATATTTTGTTGTTTTATATGATATATCGGATGAACATAACTTATTTTTTTTCAATAAATCTAATTTTCATCAGAAGGTATTATTTTTTTTTTTTAAATATCAGTTTGGTATTCTTCAGTTTTTAAGGAATTTTAATATTTAGAACAGTTTAATTTTATGCAAATACATTAATAAGTCGACTAAAGAATTGTGTCTAAAGTACTGGAGCTTATATTATAAATATCATAATTGCTGTCAACATGTCTAAATCCTTAGACATGTGACCTTTCATGGGCCAACCCGCTGTACAAGTTGCTCTTTATTCAGGAAGGTTGTGCACCCTTACTTATAAATACTAATTTTGTTTCATCATTTTGTATATTTTTTTGTATTTTTAATTCTTATTAGTAGGGTTCACACCAGCAATGAAAATGTAGTGGTTTAATAAGACCACCTTATTCAGCCCAAGGTGGTCCAAAAAATTAATATGGTTGAGAAACTTCAAGAAAATCAACTTTAGAATTACATAATTCATGTTATGGTACACATCAAAAATTATTAATTGTCATCTGCAACACCTTAAAACTAATTTTGTTCCTTAGCCTATAATGATTGAAGATTAGTAGTTATTAAAATTAAAGCTAAAGCTAAAATAATATCAGTAAATAGATTTAACATAAAGATTAAAATGCTGAAACCAAATATATATATATAAATGGAAAAAAAAAACTATTAATTATCTAAAAATAATAAAATTTTCAATAAAGTCAATTCTAATAGAACAAAAAATATTATTTTATTGATGGAAAATTTTACCGTCAGTACAATGTGGAACATAGCATGACATGTAAAATTTTATTTAAATTTAAAATTTATTGTACCAGACATTTTCTGTTATTTCATTTGAATAGCACACATTTGAATTCCATTTCACTCATAGAACAATGAAATTAGTTTAACAAATTTTTTTAAATGTATTGAATTCAATGCAAGAAACTTATTTTCGTTACTATTTTGTAAATTTTAAACATATTTCCAGACGAAAAATTTGTCATGTGTATGATTTAAGCTTCATTTGTAGAAAATTTTTCGACAATAGTCGCCATGTTACCCTACTGGTGTGAGCCTTACTTATTAGTATTAGCATATTTTTGTTAAAAAAAAGGATGTTGTCTCTCTTCGTTTATTGTAACTTAGTTATTTGAAGCAAGACTAACATTTTCAGAGTACTTGAGTTAAAAAATGAGATAGCAAGACGTGCAAAAATTCCTCAAGAAAAACAAGTTCTACTGTGCAGTGGAGGGGAAGAACTAATGCCGGATAATATTGTCGGACATTATAAAGGTGCTGGGACTGACACCAATCCCATATTCTTATTCAGCAAGTGTGTGACTGAAATGGAACCATATTCATCCCATTTAAATACATCTGCTGGTAATTAACATTCTTTGAATACTTATTTTCAATATCTATATTTTTTAATAATAAGTCAATTTACTTTAATAGGTTATGTCTTATTTCTATCTTTTCTATTGTTAAATAAAATAGGATGTTATAGGATGTTTAGGTTATAAATAAGCCTGTTTACAAGTAAAGAAACTAATATAGTTACTATCCCCCCCCCCGTAAGTTCTAGCGTATTGCTCTTTTTTGAAAAAAATAATTTTGTGAGTTGTGCAATACAAAAAATATTTTGTTTTGTAATGATTGATGGCAACTATTTTTATGTTTGTTTAATTAAGAAACAAGGTACAAATGCAACTATTTTCTTGAATGTGATTAGTGCAAATCTTAAGCAAGTTCATCAGCGTAACACATTTTGTGCTATAACTCTAGATGTACAGTGCACAAAGTTAAAAAGGGACCACCCTGAATAACTTTTGATCTAATAATCTTACTTTCAGGTTTTAGGACTCAATTTTAAAGGTTTGAGGGGGTGATTTCAAGTATGCTAATTAATTAGTGGAAACAGTATTTTACGTTACGAAATCAGACACAAAAGCGTACTTTCACTGAATAAAAATATATTTTTTTCAACGGATTTAAATTTCTAAATCTCAAAATAGCAATCTCTGAAATAGTTTGGTTAGAAGAGTGGTCCTAAATTTGGATCTCTTAATGTAAATTGAAGTTTTTGTGTATTTCGCCATATCTTGCAAACTTTTTTGATGAATTTAAACATTTTTGCACAAAATTATAAAATTCATTTATCCAAAGATAATTCCATGCAAAATATAACTGTTAGTAAATATTTGTTATTTGTTTATTATTATTTATTATTTTATTTAATAATGGTCTAAAAAATGTGTAGTATGCAAAGTACGCAATTTTTTACATAATTTTAAGGTCTGTAGTTTTACTTGTCAAAATACAAAATTTGAGTGAACTTGGTTGAATAGTTTTTGAGGAATTGAATTTTAAAGAAGCCCCAGTTTTATACTTCAATTTCTTAGGAACTATTCAAATGTTATTTATTATATTTGGAATTACTTGAAGCATAATTTATCAGCAATTATGTTGAACTGGANAAATGTGTAGTATGCAAAGTACGCAATTTTTTACATAATTTTAAGGTCTGTAGTTTTACTTGTCAAAATACAAAATTTGAGTGAACTTGGTTGAATAGTTTTTGAGGAATTGAATTTTAAGGAAGCCTCAGTTTTATAATTCAATTTCTTAGGAACTATTCAAATGTTATTTATTATATTTGGAATTATTTGAAAAATAATTTATAAGCAATTATGTTGAGCTGGACAATGATATTTGAAAAAATTTCCTTTTTATCAGTAATTAAATTAATTGTTAATCATGTATAATTTTTAGTTAATAATATAATTAGTTTTTATGATAAAGCCTCTGAAAATATTTTCCATTTTTGAAAATCTCATTAGCTAATTTTATTTTGTAAACTTATAAAGCGTTTTTAAATAATTATTATTATCTTTTATTTCAATATTTAGAGTCGAGCATAGAAAGTGATGTGAATGATTGTGCAAATATGCAGCCCACTATTGCAACTGCTACAGTTAGTATAGCATTAGCGCAGGTAATGATAATTTTAAATTGTCAGTTATAAATTAGGTAATAAACTTACAACGAAAAGATATGGTTATTGTCTTAAAATTAAATGAATGTGGGACCTTTGTCGGAAACTCATGCTTTTTACTTTATATTGGACAATATCCGACTTTTTTTATCTGTGTACTGTAAAACATAAGTATATTTAGTATAAATTACCTATTAAATTATAATGTAAAAAGTAAAATTCAACATAAGGAACATAATTTGTTAGTTGCAAAAAAGTTTTCACTGTTCACTTTATTTTAGTAACTAATGGAAAAAATATTTTTGTCCCAAAATAATTTGATTTAAATTAATATAATTTATCATTGTACTTTTTTTAGATATCTACTAATGTATCTGGTTTTGGAAAGTGAATCAGAATTTCTAAACCTCAGCGTAATTTTGTATTTAGAAATTAATGTAAAAAGTTCCTTTGGATAAATTTTTTTTTTCTTGGTTATCCAATATTTAAATTTTTTTTTATACATTCACTTCTGAAATCAGTGTTATTTGTTAACTTATTTAATACTTTATTTTGGATGTAGAATACGACTACAACAATTTTTTGTTGTTGGTTGCATTGATCAATAATCAGTGGTTATAATACAATAAATTGTTATATAATACTTTTTTTTTTTTGTAAAAATAAAATGTTTCATAGTTTAAGAAATTTAACACTTAGGAAGTTAAAATAATAAAATGTTTAGTTGCATTAAAATTTTTACAAAAATCATAAATCTTTGTACGACTTTTTGGTTTGAACTATCAAGGCAAATTTTTTTTAAATATCTTATTAATTTGGAGATAATAAATATGGCTAAGTAGAATGATAAAATTTTGTCAGTTTGTTAACTTTTCACTTTAAGAAAGAAAAAAAACTTGTAAAAATAAATAGAAAATTAGTTTGAAATCAGAAGGCATCAATTTAATGATATATTTGAAACTTAAGCCAATTTGGTTTTCATTATTTTAAGTTATTTTATTAAAAATATCTGAAAATGCTTTACACCTACGTTTCTCCTGATTATATTTGATATTGTTCTCATTTTTATTAATGAAAATCAAATTTGTGTAGAATAGTTTTGATAAAGAAGGTTAAAATAATGAGTATAATAAAGTTCAGCTTTTTTTTAAAACTTATTTTCAAATACTTCTTCTTATTTTTGTAAAAATAAGTATGTGATTCTAAAACATAATTTTATACTGAAATATTAGTAACATTTTTTTTAAATTTCTTTAGAAACATATTTTTAAAATGCTGTGCTCCAGTCACATATTTAGATCCAATATTATATAAGTTTTTATGAATTGTACATGGCTATACATTGTACATGGCTATTAATAATGGCTATAATGTGAAGTATATATAACAACAAAACAATTACATTACAATAACACAAAACAATTTTATTTAATTAGATTTTTGTCTTAAAGAATTTTTTTATTGATAAGAAATTTTTTGTTTACAATTCTTTAGTAGCTTAAAATGTCTGTTTCTAAGTATACCTGATAATTATAGTCCCTCAGTATCTGTATCAACTGTAGCAACAATTTTACCTTGGCCTAAGTTGGGCACAAAATTGACTCAACATGGGCCCTATAAGAACATGCTCCGAGGGATCAATATTGGGATGTCTAGAATTTTTTTTTTTAACATTGGTCCCATAGCAGCGATGGCTCAGGGGATCGAGTGTTCGTCTTCCAATTAGGCGAACCGAGTTCGAATCCCTGTCGATACAAATTCCGCATCCGGCTTGCACGGACCACAGTGCTGACGTGAAATATCCTCAGTGGTAGACGTATCATGGGTTAGAGCCCCTTTGCCGTCAGCCTTACTGTGGTAGGTTCTCGTGGTCTTCCTCTCCATGCAATGCAATTGTGGGTTAGCTCCATCAAAAAGTCCTCCAGGAAGGCAAATTTCTCCCAATACTCGATCCAGGAGTTCCCTTGTCTTCTGGATTGGGTTCAAAATTGTAGGACTACGGAGTTGTATATTAGTAGTCGTAAACCCATAAAATTGGGTGAAATGACGGTTATAAAATTATAAAACATTAGTCCTAGAATGGTCTATATAGAACTTATATTGGCTAAATAATGGATATAAAATATGGGGTGAATCTGACAAGACAGATATTGGTAAAGTGGCTGTAAAATATCGGGTGTATTGGAAAATTCGATATAGAGCCAATATCGGAAAAATAACAGCCCTTTGAATCTTTATTGAGCCAAGATTCATGAATATTGACCCAATGAGGGCCCAAGTTATTTTGCTGCGAAGGAATTTGCATCTTTAAAACTAAAAAAAGAAATTGTATTAATCTGCTTTCATTAGAAAATTGTATTAATTCTACTTTCATGTATTAATCTACTTTCATTATAAAGTGTCTTCCGTTAGGAATGAGGCTTATGATATAAGATTTTTTATTTTATTTCGCTAATCTCATCAAAGTTCAGTTTTTATGTGAATGGCATATTTTGGTTTAAGCTAAGGAGAGAAAGATGAGTGAGGAGAATTGATTTAGTAATAAAAATTGTATGATTCACTTACAAAACAAATTCATTAATTCATAGCGTTTTGCTGAATCGGCTAGTAAAGGAAGAGAAGAATGCGAGGAATTAGTTCACAGTCAGCATCTTCAACAACAAGGCTGGGCAGCAGTCATAGCAAACTTAGAAGACGTTAAAGAGTATGATCTTTTTATTTTTAAAAATCTTCTTATCTCAAAATTTGTTGAATGATATTACTTGAAATTATTGAAATAGTTAAGAAATCTATAATTATGTAACTGTATGTATTTAAACTTGAAGTTATTTGGGATGTTTCCTATTTAGCAATAATCAGTATCATTTATTAAGCTAATAATTTTGCATAGCCATTTTGCATTGCTATTCCACAGTTATTTTTTATTTTTATATAAATACTGAATAATTTATAAAACACTGCATTCAATCGACAATGAAACTCAGTGGCGCGGCAGCCCAAAGAGGACCATGACCTACTGTGTCCATCTAACACCTCCTAGAAACAAGCAGGTCTCAGCATGGGTTGCCATAAATATCCTTTAGTAGTCCAAACGTAATGACATATTTTGTATTTCCAACCACTGTGCAGCTTAGTACCCCGAACGTAATGACATCTTTCTTATTTTTCATCTACTGCGCAGTTAACTTCGTGACATCGGACTACTAAATTGATCCGTGCTGAGGCCTTCTTTCTTCTAGGAGGTGTTGGTCCATCTCAGTTTTCTTGACCTTGGGCTTTAGAGTGCAAGACCAGATGTTCTGATTAGGTGGTCAGCCAAACGCGGAACCCCTAGTGTTTAGTTCCCAAGCTTGCTTGGTTCTCATTTTATCAACCCACTGAGGACCCGAGGATTGAACCATGGACCTGTGACACAAGAGCACAAAGCGCTACCACTTAGCCACTGGGCGTCAACGCATTCAATCATTTTACACTAAAGTGGATTCCAAGCCACTAAATAAGATAAGATTAGAGATGCTGCAATTCAATCAGAATACTTACAACAAATATTCATCAATAAAATTTTTTTTTATTGCTATTAAAACCAACAATAGTAGCACAAACGGTAATTTGTTCTGATTTTATATTTTTACGCTTTTGATTTAATTTTCATTTAGCAGTTAAGCCTCTTATTTCATGACAATGAATTGGAAAATTTCTCCCATACAATATCCATCATAAGTCTTTAAAAAAAAACCTTCATTAAAGTTATTGCTCCAAATAATTATAAAACTCTCTCCAATAACTGTTTCTTGGGGTGCTTCTGAACAGGTCATAATTGAGAAGTCTTCCTTGCGGCGTACCAGGACATTGCCGGGCATGTATTCCCATCCAATTTTAATCTTCATTATGTGCATATTAACTCCCCTAGAAGTTTGGCGCAATATCTACACAACTTCTTGTTTATGTAGCGTTTTTATGTATAGAATTTTTTTAAACTTGTACATTTGGTCAAAAAATAGGCTAAAAATGTCATTAAAAAAAAGCATAGCTTTAGAAACAAAGCTAATTTCAAATCTGAAATCCCTATACTCGAATTAGGTTAGATCAAATAATTGTATAAATACAATAAAAAGTAGTAATTTATATAAGATAGTTTATAAGGGAATATTTAAACTATTAAGTTCTGATTTAAGATTCTGAGGTCAACAACTTTGATGGTTTCAAGTATTTAATTTCACCTACCAGTTGAGCTCGTAATAGTGGCAGTGTTGCCAGATTGGGCTACAAGTAGCGGATTGGGCTACTTTTAAAAGTCCCCGCTACTGAAAATTGAATTTTCGCTACTTGCTACTTTTTGGGCTACTTATTATTTTTCGAACGCTACAAATCTTAAATATGGGCTACTTTTTTTCCTTACTGAGATATATATATATATTTTAATTTTTTCCCTTCCCATTATAAAATGATTCTGAAAGTTTGCAGCTTCTTTACCATTTTTAAAAAGGACATTTTTGTTGTTGTTGTTGAAAACGTTGTTGCTTCAGTTTTGGATTCTTGATATGTTTTACTGATCGAGTCTATAATTTTTCCATGTTTATGTTTCAAATCGTAGACTCAGGAAATCGCAAAGATATATATGGAAAAATGCACGGAGAGTATGATGGGGAAAATGTTTTTTAACTCCAACTATTATTAATCGTTTATCTTCCGGAGAACACGTTACTCGCTTTGAAACTCAGAAAAATTAAATCCAAAGTCATTTTACCTGATGAATGAAAATAGTTGTTGTGAATGACAATGAGTTTCCAAAAAATATCGTACTGTTAAATGCTTTTTAGTGAATTCATTTCACTTTTGTAAATCACGATCTATTCACAGTTGCACGAAAAATAGGAAAATTTTTATATCTCTCTAGAGCTTAGATTTGCCCGTTGCAAATGATGCAATTATTTTTTTTAAAGGAAGCTATAATATGTATTGCTATGGTTACAGTTATTATTTTTCACCTCATTTTACCAAATATGCAATAAATAAATGAAACAAATAAAAATTAAGTTTTGGATAGTTATCATATTAAAATAAAATTCGTATTACCAAACGCAAATGATAATCAGAATTGGCCTCAAGGAGAACGACATGAAGAAATATTTCATAGAAGGCCAAGACCCACCCAATGATGACGATGAAACGCAAAAGATGGATTTTGTTTTTAAAACAAAAATATATACTATGAAATTTCAAATAATAATTAACTATAACAATGAAATTATGAATAAAAATGACTAAGTTAATTGAAACATAATGCACTTAGGGATCAGGAAAACTGAATAACGACAATTTTTTGAATTCGAAAATGTCAACATTTTAAACCTTTCGAAACATTTATAGTAATTGCGAAATAACTAGGAAAGATAATTACTTTAAATGATAAACACGGTAATGTATATGCTGTGTGTTATAAAAGGAGTTTAGAAAATTATTAAAGCTACTACAGTGAAACTATCGTAAACTGATCAGAAGTGGAACTACAATTTGATGGTTTTATAAGAGAATAAAATCTTATAAAAATGATAATAAATTGTTTTTACCAGTTTTGCACTTGATCATCAAAATCTTAGATAGGTGATTAACTTATAGAGATGGTCAACTTAACAGGTTTCACTGTGCAAGTAAAGTAAGCTCAGCAACTAAGGCGAGCTGGGAGAAAAGAAAATATTTACGAGCATTTAGTGCAAATCTATCTTTTTATCTTTGTTTTTTTTTAACTTTACAACAGATGTTACGGCTACTATAAAGGAAAAAAAATTAGTTAAAAATATTTGTAAATAAATACTGTTCATAATATAAATACTTTAAAATACTGTTTCATACGTGGTCCAAATCAAAATATTCATTTGTTCACTAAATTACTATCAAAACTATTCTCAATCGAGTTTGAAACAATTATTGATGCTGTTACAAAGAAAAGCAAAGTCATATTTCTCATCTGCGAGCTGAATGTTTGTACTTTGTATTGTTTCGAACTTCAGAGCAGAAATGATTAAATAAATTATTTTGCTTATCAAAAAAAGATTTTTTGCCTTTTATTTTTAAATACACACAGATGTAGGCCCATGAAGTTGAACTTTTCTGAATTTGTTGTTGAAGATTGGGTCCTAGTTAGGTCTTATTTTTAATTTCCTCGAAACGCGAGATAATTTTTATTAAAAAAAATTTAGCTAGTGAGAACATTTTTATGTGCGAGTAATTAAGGTTCTTGAGGTTGGGGAACGAAGCGAGCTGAGGTCGAAACCTCTTAGTATTCTTATGCAGCTCAAAGACCGCACCAACATTAAAATATCGAAGACAGTTCCGACTGATTTTTACACATAAAAAAGCT